CGGGGGGGGGGAGGTGGGGACGCGGCGGCGGCGGCGGCGGCGTCGGCCGGGGACCTGGCCTGTGACGACGACGACGACGGCGCCGGCTGCTGTCTGGGCTTTGCTGATCCAGCTGGCAGGTCGTCGTCGACGAGTCCGGGAATGTCGTCCGTCATGACGGAGTGGCCGAAGAAGTTCTCAAACGACATCCTCTCGACGGGATTCCTCCTGAGCAGGCCGCGGACGAGCGCCTTCATCTCCGAAGTGACGGCGACCTCGCGAGGGAACTTGATGACGTCTTCGGCAGCTTCTATCTTCCTCAGCAGCTCAACGTGGTTCCGTGCCCGAAACGGCGGGCGGCCGGTGACCATCTCGTACAGGACGGTGCCGACGGACCAGAGGTCGGCCTTGGCGTCGTACCTCTCGTAGCGGAGGATCTCGGGGGCCATGTACAGCGGGGAGCCGCAGAGGGTGTCTGCCAGGGACGTGGAGGGGAGGACGCGGGCGAAGCCGAAGTCGGCCAGCTTGAGCATGGGGAGCGAGGCGAGTCCGGCGACGGGGATGAGCGAGTTCTGGCTGGCCTCCATGACGGGGAAGCCGCGGTCCTCGCGGACGGTCCTGGCGGGGAGCAGGAGCAGGTTCTGGGGCTTGACATCCCGGTGGACATAGTTGTTGCTGCGGAGGAACTCGAGGGCGCTCGAGAGCTGCTTGAGGAAGTGGCGGATAATGACCTCGTGGAGACCAGAGTTGGATGAGCTCGGGTACTTGCGAGCCATGTCGTGGGTGGCCGGGTGGGTGCCAAGCTTCTCGCGCTTCTTTATGAAGAGCGACAGGTCGCCTAGCTCACAGTACTCCATGATGAGGTTGATGTGTGTTGATGATTCGATGCAGTCGTGGAGGGCGACGATGTGAGGGTGTCGCAACGTCTTGAGGATCTTGATCTCGCCGTACAGGTTCTCCTTGAGCTTCTTATTCAGACGTTCCAGCTCTACCGACTTGATGGCGACGGCCTGCTTCCTGTCCTGCATACCGCGTGTGAGCACAGCAGAGCGCGACAGGGGAGGGAGGACAGGACTCACCTTGTGCCATCCTAGGTAGACCTGGGCAAAACTTCCCTTGCCGATCTCCTTCTCGATGGTGAACTCGCCCACGACTCGCCTGCTGGACCTCCTCGAGCCGGAGCCGGAGCCGGAGCCGGAGCTCTGTGATGTAGGGGCCCGCACGGTAGCCATGGCTCCCTGCATATGTGATTGTCGGCGACAGGAAGTGGGCGACGTGGGTACGGAGGGAGTGGAGGATAAAAGCCCGAGGGCCTCTTCAGAATCTCGGATGGACAGGAGTCGTCGTCATGCAGTGGCGATGTTCTGGTACGGGCGTGTCAGCCATCAGCTCTTCTTCCTCCAGCTTCCAGACAGCCAAGGCGAGAAACGGGCAGGTGGCGAGCGTAGTCTAGAGACGCCAGATGAAGAGGGAGGGGAGAGAGAAGACAGAGATATGTGCTGGTGGTCGTGGCGTACAAGTTCGAACAGGTGGGTTGGACAATGCTGTTCTGACCGAGAGGAGGTCGTTGGGCAAGGCAATGTGCAACCTTGGAAGGTCAGTGATGAAGGGGTCTTTTTTTTTTTTGGGGGGGGGGGGGGGGGAGAGAGAGAGAGGAGAAGGGGAAGTAGGGCAAGGGCAAAGGTGAGAAGAGATGGTTGGATGGATGTGCTGTGTATGTAGTCGTAACAGTCGAGAGGAAAGGAAAGGAGGGAGAGAGATAGAGAGAGTACTCGGAGCGACTAGGGTTGATGGTAGGTAGTAAACAGGCAGGCAGACGGGAGCTACGGAGGGAGTCTAGCAGGTTCCCCGAGGGCTCAAAAAAAAGCAAGCAACAAGTGATATATGGGGAGTCTCCCGGGAGGGGGGGGGGGGGGGGGGGGGGGGGGGGGGGGGGGGGAGCAAGGGTCGTATGTCGGTGAAACATGACAAAACAAGGGGAGGAAGCAGAAGAAGAAGCAGAAGCAGAAGAAGAAGCAGAAGCAGAAGAAGAAGAAGGATTCCCACTGTCTGGGTGTGTGCGTGGAGGGTGGTGACTAACCTCGATGGTTTGTCGAGAATGACGACGATCTTTTACGATGCGACACCAGACGAGATGGTCCCTCGTAGATGTGAAGGGATCCCTTCTGTCTGCAATCTGTAGTTGTTGCTGTTGCTGTTGGGTATTATGTCGTCGGGATGGCGACGCAGGTGTCGGAATCGTAGAAGATTGCGGGTTTGTCGCAACGGAAGTACCCTGATGGCATTAAAGGTCCTATGGGGGGGATGAATGGGTATAAAGGGTATGGGGGTTGGGGTTAGGACGGAAGTATAACGTTGTATGGGGGGAAGAGACAAGAGAGATCGGAAGGATATCGGAGTGGACTGGATCGTAGCGATTTCAAGGGGGTGTATGTGAGGGGAAAGTCGAGAAATCGTCATGTACAGGTGGATGTACCGGCAACTGGTAATAGTATCTATTACTCGTTAGTCGTATCATAGGCTGTAGCAGTCTACAGGCCCATGGAGTGACTCCTGTAGGCTCTGTAACGGTAGCCGTAACGCCGTACATGTTATCATCATCTATGTAATCTGTAATCTGTAAGCTGTACTCGTACTCGTTAGAGCGTCCAGGGCTGCGAATCGTGATACGGCATTGATTGTGCTATTCTGGGTCTAGTCTTCTGCCGCTCCTCTTTCTAGTTTGGCGGGTGACGTGACGTACCCGGATACGGTTGGATGAGTCAGCACGCGATGTGCTCCGAGGATTATGCAATTGTCCCATCGTTCTTCCTCCTCTGGGTTCTCGTCTCTGGGAATGACTGCAGGAGCCTAGGATGTTGCAAAAGAACGTCCGTATGGCGACAAACGTCATGACTCTATATCCTGCCAGACTCTTCGTTCCTGACCCTGAGGATGAGAGAAGATGGGATGAATGTCGACATGTCATATATAGTCGTACCCCCTCCCCCCCCCCCCTTTCCAAAATTCAAAATTCAAGCATGGCCGTGGGAGTTGTGGTAAGAATACATATTATTACGAGTGTAAAGAGGCAAGGCAGTATCACAAGCAACCTGTGCAATACTCCAATGCAGCATTGCAGCAGTCGTGGACCGTCCTCCCTGCGGCGAGACAGATAACGGTGCTACCATGTCATTATGTCATACTCCGTAAAGTGTACGGAGTACGGATACAGCTGCAGCTGCATGGCTTATCTCGTCCGTACAATACGTCCCGACTCCCTAAACTAAGGACGGTGCGATGCCGATGAACCTTGTACGATGAAGGCTCTCCGTCTTCTTCCCTCTACGAGTCGTAGCAGCATTCGCTGTAGGACCTATCGTCACAACCAATAATACATGTAATGCTCTGATCTGTACTTGTCTGCTGTATCGCCACACCGACACCGACACCCCCAAGAGAGAGTAGATGTCATGATGCCTCGACTGAATGGCAACGATTCCCCCCCCCCCCCCAAAAAAAAAAAAAAATTTAAAAAAAAATTAAAAAATATATATATATATATACATATATACCCAAACAGTCAAGCCCCATGGTGGAACCAAAAGACGGGGCGCTCCCGGACGCGCCCGGGTATTATGTACGAATATGCGAGATTGTCCTGCACAAAAGGAAATCCCGGGATTCTAATGATGGGGGTGCGTATCCCCTGTACTGTCCAGTCTCAGTCTCCTCCTATATGGAAGGAAGCATTACATACGAGATACATACACTCCCCGTTGCGGAAACTAACCTCCCCTCCACCCCCCTTTCTGTTTTTTTTTTTTTTTTTTTTTTTTTTTTTTTTTTTTTTTTTTTTTTTGGGGGGGGGGAGGGGGGGGGGGGGGGGGGGGGGGGGGGGGGGGGGGGGGGGGGGGGGGGGGGGAGCAAGGGTCGTATGTCGGTGAAACATGACAAAACAAGGGGAGGAAG